GGGGGGGGGGGGGGGGGGGGGGGGGGGGGGGGGGGGGGGGGGGAGGGTACTGATTATTGTGCTGCACATTTCTGAATTCTAAGAAATTGAGAGCCACCTTAGAAGCCATCTTAAAAGTCTGCTCATGAATACATGTGGATGAATAATCACCAGAGCGATCATTTTTATTTGCATTATAAAAAGGTAAATGGAAGGGTGCATTTTAGGGCAAATAGTTTTATGAAAAGGGAGTCACTTGAGAGACAGCAATAGCTATACTTCTAGAGACAATAACCATACACAAAGGGGCAAAGAGCATTTACTCCAAGTAAAGTTGTTCACTATTCATGTACAGTACAGATGCACTTTTAATATTGAAACAAGATCCAATCTGTTCTGTTAAAATTTAAAAAAGGGTGTAAGTGACAAGCACCTTGGGCAGGTGTGCCAAGGCTTAGAACTCTTTCACAGTAGGGTTTCCAAAGTAACCTACCAGCGATCTTATGAAACTTTATGTTAAAATCAAAATATTATTCTGAAATGTTAAAATAAAGGTGAAAGGCTTCTATCATGATTTAGAATATATTGCACACAAGTTTGCACACTTAATCTCCCACAAAATAAAGATTTTTTCACGTTCAGTGTGAGTTGTCTTTCCAGCAATTTTGGAGAAAATGAAAAAACAATAAACTTTAAAAAGAAAGAAAAAAGCAATTTAAAATTGCCAGAGCTTAGCGCTCATGTTAATCAAAGCAACACTATACATTGTTTCGACGACAAAGCACAAGGAAAAAATTTAGAGTTCACTTCAGAAATTTGTCGAGCCTACATGTAAAATAATGTGCCAGAATGACCCAAAGAAGGCTCTCTTGTGCTGAAAATACAAAATACTAAACTTAGCTAACAAATCTAAGCAAGTCTAAGCTTATGTTTGTAAATTGAAATCAGAGTCAAGGAAATTCTAAAGTGTGCCTAACTTCAAAATGTGTCAGATGGGGGCATAAGTTCTGAGAGAAAGCTGAACACATTTTACTTCCACCACCACCAGACACAATGCACTCATTGAAATGGACCCTGTAACCAGCATTCTTTCGCTTATCCAGGCAACAATGACTTACTGTGTTTGTGACAGAGTGTGATCGGTGGTGTGATGACTCCGACAATTCCGGTCTGCCGTCCTTAGGGATGTTCGAAGCTTCTTCGCTCCCGTCCGGAGCATGAAAGCTAGAAAAACGAAGGAGAAGTAAGCTTAATGAATTAGCGAGTGTCACCTTCTTCACACATTTCAGCACATGATCGAGTTCAAACGTGCTACAGCTTCACTCACCATGCTATCTGAGCGACCAATAAAAGCGAAAAAAATAAAGCTGAAATAAAATTCATAGCATAAAAATGACTCCAGGCCTTGGCTATCGCCTGATCCTTGAAATTTTATAAAACATTGAGAAATAATCGACGGATGAAACGCTGTGGACAACGTGATGAGTCATCTCACTGCAGACTCTGTGTCTTGCAACTGAAGCAGGGTCCATCTTGATGACGTGTTGTTGTGGACCGGTCAGACTGGTTCATAACACAAGTAGGTACTTCATATATGGTAATTATTATGTACCATCTATGGCTCAAGAAGGCAAGCAATGCGTACAAAATAAAAAGCATTTACGGGGATGGGGAAGGGAAGCGAAAAACGCGACGGAAAAGGGGAAAGAAATTCCTGGTTTAAGAAACGGGCTTTTCGCTTTCGCCAGCCATATCCTAACTGCATATGATTTATGCAAATTTGACCTGGCGCCGATCAACAATTGTATGCAGGCCTTTTTTGCGGTCAGTGTAAAGACTTTAGAAATCGTGAGGTCAAATTTTATTAACCGTTAAACTGGAGCAGTCGATGGCAAGATAGTCCAGCTATTGATCTCTTT